AGATTTGGGTGAAATAATAATGGATTATGACTACTGAGTTGGCTTCAATTATTATAAATGAGTTACCTGATTTATTACTATTATTTATTATTGTTATTAATATTTCGTACAGGTTAATGTAAGTGAACCGCCTTAGCCTCGTCATTACTTCGTCGAGGTTAGGCTCAGCACTTACCAGTACATGGGGTCGGTTGTACTGATGTTACACTCTGCACTTCTTGTGCAGATTTCGGAGTTGGTCCCAGCGGCGTGCCATAGACTTGCTCGGATTTCAGCTATTCAAAGGAAACTTGAGGTATAACTGCATGGCATCCGCAGTTCTGAAGTCCCCGTCTATTTTACTTTAGCTGTGTATTTATTTCCAGACAACTTTATTTTATTCAGACCTTTATTTGTATTATTCTAGAATGCTCGTGAATTGTGACACCAATTCTGGGATGGTATTTAGACACCGTTATTTTTTTTTTGATTATTTCACTATGTTTTAAACTTTGCTTCCGCCTTTGTTTTCTTGATTATTAATAATATAAAAATTATTTTTAAAATAGATAATATTATTCTAACGTTGGCTTGCCTAGCAAGTGAAATGTTAGGCGCCATCACGGTCCGAATATGAGAATTTTGTGTCGTGACAGCATTAACTAAATAATTTGACTATTTAGGACCAAAAACATCGTCTATGAAAGAGAAATTAGGTTAGATTCAACAATATACTAACATGTTATTATCTCATACAATAAAGTACCTATAATTATAAATAATATATAACTAACTTAACTCAATTATTTATTATCTTTGCAAGTTCAGAAAATATTCAATTACTACACTTATGCAACCACGTTTATTTTTGTCATTAAAGTGACTGTTATTTTAAGAATCTTATTTTAATGTCATTTGATATTTTACAGAATTAAGTGACTGATGTTGCATGCACGTGTAGGGATGGCAAACGATGCGGTGCGGTTGCGGGGCAAACCTGCATAAACCTGCAAAGGTTTCAACCCGCCCCGTCCCGTCCCGCATAGTATTTGCACCCGCATCCACCAACCCCACACCTACACCCGCGTCCATCCGCCCCGCCCTGCCCCGCATAACTTTTTTTTTTTTTTCATTTTCCTAGTTTTTCTTAATTAATTTTTTGCTGGATTTTCAATTTCATCAACCAAAAAATGAAAATCTCTTTTGTTGCTCATGTACTGAATTTGTTCAATTTTCTTTTTAAGAATTTGTTCAACTAGAATTGAGGATTGAAAAAGAGCGAGTCACTTTTTCGATGGTTTGGAATTTGAAAACAAATGTGGGAATAGGTGGCTTCAAGCTGCCAGTATGTTGTATGCTTTTAGTTTCGAAACAAAAATGATGTTTAGTTTAGTATAATATAAATTCAGGATTTGGTTGTATGATATTTTAAGTGACAAAAATTAAAATAGTAATTTTTGTGTAACGAACCTTCATTAGATGATTTTTAAGTGATAAATGTTAATAATTTAATCATAAAAATATTTGTCTGAACAACATTTTATATTCCCTTAAATGCCTAACTTTTTTCTTTTTTTCAAATTTCAAACTTAATTAACATTTCACTAAAATGTGTATTTGAAAAAGAAAATTATAAATGATTTATTTTTGTTTCTGTGAAGTATTAAATATAATAGACTGGTCTTTAAGGTTTGCCTCAGTGGATAACTTGTACAATAGGCCAAATCTAGAAAACTTATGCAAATCCGCTTAAACCCGCATAGACCCGCAATCCGCCCCGCACCGCATCGGTCTTTTAAGAAATAATGTCAACCCACTCCGCATCCGTCCCGCACCGTATAACTTTAAATCCGCATAGCCTTAAATCCACCCGCCTTCCCGCCCCATTTGTCATCCCTATGCACGTGCAAGAAACGTCCACTGAAACTAGTTAATATGAATAGGTTAAAAGACAAGTCATAGTTTACTTGCAACTGAATGCGGGAGGAAGGCGCAGACGTATGAGACGGCTTTTGGAATATGCTATCCATCAATCATTACTCATATATTCACAAATCACCTACTCCTATTTTTTTATTTTTTATTTTTCTTTAAATAAAACAAATAGAGAGGAAAGAATAGAGTTTTGGCTTCTTTTCTCAAAAAAAATCTTTTTTTGAGAAATGAAAAAGAAGCCAAAACTCTCTTATTAAAAATTTGGAACTAAATAATTCATTTCTTATTAAAACCCAAACACACTCCCATTGTTTCATTTCCTTCTGCTCTACCGCTTACTTTTCCTCTTTGGAAAGGAAAAGACTCAAAAATTCTAAAATCCCAAGCTTAGAAGACTCAATTTTCGCAATTCAGCTGTAAGTTGCTATTTCATATTTTTGTTTGAATTTTACTCTTTTGCCTTTTATAGAATATAGTAGTTCATACATCAATATCAGGTTATGTATATCGTCTAGTATTTCTTTTTCTTTCTTTCTCTGGGTTTATACTTTATATCGTTTATTCACTGTATAAGCAACAACTTTAGCTGTCGGTTTTCTGGGTATTCTTCTTCTCTTTTTCTTTGAATTTTAGAGTAGTAATTTTATGGATCTTCTTCTATTTCTTCTTTTTTTTGCGATCTCTTTCCAAGAATATAGGGAATTTCTCTCTTTTTTAGGCAATCCCTTTTCAAGAGTAAAGGAAGTTTCTTTTTTGGTGGGCTTGTCCTCTGTATAATTCTGGTGGTTGATATTTGTTAAATTATTAGTTTGGTTCATCAGCTTTATTATAATATGAATATATCTATGAAAATTAAGCTAAAAGCTTAGGAGGTTAGGCTGTAATCCTCATGTTCCACTTTTATGTGCTTAATTTTGCCTGCTTTGTCCATTATGTGAGCTAAGCATCAATTGGAAAATCAAAAACTGTTTAAATAATTTATTGTTACACTTAAAATGATATCAAATTATGGGGTAAATATGCTTGAATTAATCTAAAGATATCTCTAGTATTAGAATTTTCCCTCAAGGCTTTGGTCTAGTGGTAAGAGTGCAACTCGTGATGTGTGTCATTCGAAACCGACAGTAGATAAAAGCCTAATATTTAAGTGGAGAAGGGTCCATTGCTCACTGAGTTTAAAATCGTGTGCCACTAGCCCTTGGAGATTTCTCGGTTATAAAATGAAATTTGATTAGAATGTGGTGAATTAAACCTCAGGTCAAGGCATGTGAACTTCTCAATGCTGAGAATTTCTTGGTTCAGAAGTTACTCATTTATATTAAAGGATGTGTGTGTATAGAGAGGCTTGTGATCATGCTGTTCTTTAGTTGCATGTTTATTTACGAGGAATTGGTTAGTAGAGTAATAATGGGCCTTTCCCTTTCCTCGATTGCTGAGATAAATTAGTGGTTAATTCCTTTTCCTATTTGCAAGCATTATTAAATGAGCTGAATGCTGATCACATGGTTAACTAGTAAGGTTGAAGTCCTTATTTGATCATTCAACGCAGGTATCTAAAGGTCACGCAAGGGGATAACTCAAAAACCTTAAGGCAGAAGCCATCAGCTTGAAAGAACCAACTACATATGGAAAAGAGTGAGCACTTAGTCTACCTATACGTAACTCACTATCTCATTTTTCAGATTTCTGACAGTTTTTAGTGCGATTACAATGATTATCGTATATGTTTGTTCGTTGGTGACACATTCTTCATGTATCCCATGATAAATTCTACTTTATTTCTCGTTTCATATATCTTCTCAAAGATATCTGAATACTGAGTTCATGTTAGTCAAGATATTGTTACTAAGCGATGAAATGTTCATGGATTGAATTTTGTACAGTTGCTTGCAATTCTGCATCAGGAAATTTTTTTAGGATATGTAAGTTTTTAGGAAAATTTTGTATTTGCCCTTCATTTTGCAAGTTGAGCATTAAAATTCTTCTGAATAATAGAATTTCAAAATAAGGAAATTCGTAGCCATAATTAATTGGATGTCTGGGTCTGGCAGGTGCTACTCTTGAAAGCGGAGAGGGCAGAAATAGTGTTGAACTCGTGAAATCAGTCTCTGACAAACAGCTTGACCTTTTGAGGCCGTCAGCTCGGTATTATTCAGTGTCTAAAGGTAACAATTTTCTATACCTTTCTCGGCTTTTTGGCTATGATCAAGTGTAGTATCTATTTTTATCGGTTAAAGGTAACCATTTCCTTTACCTTTTGGGGTACCATGACTATTTTAGCTTCTTTTATCCAAGAGACGGCATTTGTATTTAGCTCACAGATTGAGTGCTCATTTTCTAAATGCATGACTTGTATGTTAGGATCATTTTCTTCATAAACTTTTAGCCATGGAGGTTCTCTATCTTTGAAACTTATTTATTCTAGATTCGGAAATAAGAACAACAAAAAGCTATTGATGCTGTTTTCACATTCCCCAGCAAATAAATGTGGAATTGCTTTAGGACATTTCGAAGTACATTAGAATATATCTTAATCTTTTCCTGTCACAAGTTTTATCTTCATTCAGTTACTTTTTAGAGGCCTTTTTATGCGTCTTTCATAGTTCGAGGATAAAATATTTTGATTCATGTTTCATAAGAAAACTATCCTGATACATGTTTTCCCCTATTTAACTTTTAAGTTTTTTGTTCCGTCTCTCTCTCTCTCTCTCTCTCTTTGTTTGTGTGTGTGTGTGTGTCCATTAGTATTGTTCATAGGTTTGCTTTCCCATTTGTTTGGGTTGTGGGATGGAGTAGATTCTTTTCCAACTGTCTTTAATTCCGTGGTATCTGCTGTAAACATGAAGGCAGCTATTGTTGTAAATTCCCTTCAATTTTATTCCGTCTTCGTTACATCTATCAATTATCTGTCCACACTGGTCACAAAAGATGAAGTGAGAAAAGCAAACCGAAATTCTGAGTTGGATACTTGTGATTATAGGACAAAGAGGTGATGCAGAAGATCGTGATAAGGGAAAGTATACGTTGATTAGAGATGTAGAGGACCTTCAAACAGGGTTCTATGATAAACCTCTTCCTTGCTTTGGTTGTGGAGTCGGATGGTTTTCGTAAGTACTGTTATACGTCTCGTTTACTATCTCTCATTCTCTCTCGTCTTCCTTTAGATCTGATTGTTTATAATTATTTACCAATAGATTTCTACTGGGATTTCTATGCCCGTTGTTGTGGTATTATGCTACAATACTGTATTTTGGAAACTACTACCGCAAGGATCCTAGAGAACGTGCCGGACTTGCTGCATCTGCTATTGCTGTAAGTTGATTCCCACCTCCCCCCGCTAAAACATCAAAATAATGGATCAATCAAAAGAGGGGAAAAGAAAACGCATTACATTGCATTTCTCTACCTTTCTGGTTTTCTGTGATGGAAGGGGCCTTGGCGTTGGTAAAGTTACTGCCTGGTCACGTGTTCGAGCCGTGGAAACAGGCTCTTGCAGAAGTGCAGGGTAAGGCCGCGTAAAATAGACCCTTGTGGTTCGCAGGTCCGGCCCTTCCCGGGACCCCGCGCATAGCAGGAATTTAGTGCACCGGGCTGCCCTTTTTCGGGTTTTCTGTGACAATTCAAAAGTCGTTTGCAACTTTTTATAGTGTTTAACAGTTTGACAGTCCTAACAGCATTTAGAATTTACACTCTTATGCAGGCAATGGCGTGTTCTCTTGTGTTGATAATAATCATAGCAGTAAAACTCTTCTTGTAGCTTCCATTATACGAGCCGTATCTATTGTGACCAAGATGTCAGAATTGTGCTGTTGCTTGTTTTGTAGTCAAGTGAAAAGACACATCTCGAGTCTAAACTCTCCAATTGTAAATGCTCTTACGAAGAAAAAACATCTTATATACAGAACTATACACGTGAAAATGTATACCTGCTCAAGTATTCCATCAAGATTATTATTGAGATTCCTCTTGTTTGTATACATGTTTTTCCATGTTAAAAGTGCAACAATAATATTATGGATTTATGTGCAGGACAAGTTATACAGACTTTCAATTGTGTCCCCTTTCTTTAAGAAAAGAAAGAGGTTATCCATATTGCTAGTGTCTCCGAACAGAATAGGGATTTTTACCCAGCTACACTGTATTAGAAACTTATTAACTACTTTTCTTTGTGTTCCTTAAAAATTACATTGTGTGTCTATATTTACTATTTATGTACAAAATCACAATAAAAGAAGGATCCCTTAAATATAGGGATTAATTTGTAACTGTATCCCCCATCCCCATCTATCAACTTATTTAGTCTCCTACAATCACGATTTTCTTCCTAATTTCAAAAGATTTTAAAGTCATTCTCTCTTTCATACAAATCAAACTATTATCTCTCTAAAATTGTAGCATCATATATTTCTCTGAATCAATTCTACCAACAACCATTAAAAAGTTTCAACTATTGACAAATCCATCAACATTATCTCTGAAATTGCAGGTAGAGGAGTCTGCCATTGACATACCATTAAAAAGTTTCGAAGTTTTGAATTAGATATCTGGATTTTACGAATTTGTGATTTCTTTGGATTGGGTGTTCTTGAAAACGATTGAAAATATCCTTAGGGTTCATATCTCAATTTTATGGGAGATTGGTTAAGTTTAAAGTTGGTTTTAGGTAGAATTTCAGATTGAAACTCGAGGAAGAAGAAGTTTCGGAATTGTATTACGATTGTATGATAAATGTATCATAATTGTATCTGAGTTGTATTTGATACATCAATACCTAAGACAATTCTGATACAATACTAATACTATTATAATACAATATTGTATCATAATTTAAGTTTAGAGTTGGTTCTAGGTGGATATTTTAGATTGAAACTTGAAAAAGATGAAGATCAAAATTGTATCATAATTAAGAATTGTATCACGGTTGTATCATAATTTGTACCTAAAATAATACATGATACAATACTAATACAAGTATAATACGATATTGTATTAATTTAAGTTTAGAGTTGGTTTTAAGTTGTATCGTAATTGTATAAGAATTGTGTAAGAATTCCTTCATGATTGTATCAAATTTGTATCTGAATTGTATTTGATGCATCAATACATGAAAGAATACTTGATATAACACTGATACAAGTACAATACAATCTTGTGTCAGAATTATATTAGTTTTTTAGAGTAGTAACGTGTATAGGTAGAAAATTTTCAGATTTCCTATAATTACTGTGATGGATATTCAAAATTGTACAGGATCGAAAATGTTACCATACAAACAATAACCATTTTTTGGTTCCATTTCTACGGCGAGTATGGCTTCTTTTTTGGTTCAAGACTTTTTTTGTCCATTTGTATTTTTCTTGTGACTTCTTATACGAGAAGCAAGTATCTTGTATAGAGTTTTCGAGAAATTGGAAGAAAAAATTTGGTGAAATAATATTGGAAGAAGAAGTTGCTTCCAGATCTGCGTATAAGAAAAGAGAGGGATGGGAGTAGAGAAAAAAGGAAAGGATACAATTCAATCCCTTAATTGAAGGTGCTAATAATGGGGTGAGAGCTTTTTAAGGGGAATACATACAGTTTGTAAAAAAAAACATAGATACTTTTTGAAAACTACAAAACCTAAAGCAAATAAATAAATAAGTTTCTATTATAGTATATATAGGAAAAACTCCCCTCTGAATAGGGCCTCCGAATTAGCTCTAAATTGCTTCCAAATTCCAATATGTTACTTGCATTGTTTATATTTTGTTTGACCAAGTTTTAAAATCTGGTTCTTTTAGGTTTTATATAAGCAGCTTATGTTTAGTCAATCATTACAAAAGTGAGTTTCAATGTCAAATTATGAAATGGACATTTAAAGATCTCTTTTTACAATTAGTATTCTTTGAACTTGAAAATATTTATTATGACTTAATTAAGTTTTTTAATTGCATTCAATTAAAATGTAAAATAATCACAAAACAGAGAGGTCGGGATTACAAGACTTTGGTCATGGATGTGTTTTCAATAATGCAAGAGTTTAATCTTGTCCGCACTTGAGAATGGCTCGGTAAATATAGAACTTTTTGTAATGGTATTTTGTCCTGAAAAGTTTATGAGCTGCTTCCCAGCAGCAGAAAATAGTTTCAGCAACTACTCACAAGTAGAGTGCTTATTTTTTCAGAAACTTGACCAAATACTTTAAGATTTAACGCAAGTACTTTGAAAGATAACTTCTGATTTCCCAGAAACTTCACCATACATGCTCAGATCTTTGGCAATTAGTAGCAGCCAATTATGCGCTACGAAACGAGAACGATGATGATAAGAACTTAACGATCCTCATGCCAGCAAATTTAGCTGATAAGCCAACAAACTTAAAAAGAAAGTCCCTCTCGCATAACATCCTCAACAGTTTTCTTACAAAATGTATAGTATTTATTTAATTTAATCTCTAAAACTTCCAATAGCACGGACAAAACTTGGGAACAAACTCCCTTCAAATTGAGGTCGTGAGGTTTTTTGTGAGTATCACAGGTGAAGCTTGTTTTATAGCTTTGGCTGTAGAATGTTTTCTTTTCCCCAATAAATTGCCTCAACATTTGTTGTAAAAATTATAAAGCTTCCAAAATGAAATTCTCAGGAACTTTTCGCTGCCAGTCGCACATATTTGCCATCAACAACGAACTTAGAACTCGAATTTATCTGCAGAAAACAGGAACAAAAAATTGTGTCAGCACCCTTACACGTTTGGTTAAAGGATCAGTCACGAAGAAACTAGCATCGATCCGGTTTGATTAGGTTAGCTGACCTTATGCTCAATTATGTCACTGAATTGGCTTCCGTCTTTTACCATGCCAGACTCATTTGCAGACTCTAGAACAATCTTTTTAAGTTTCTTCAACTTCAGAACACCATCAGAATTCTGTCCCGAATGTGACAAGAGAGTAAGAGAGATACCAGACAATGCATACGATCATAAAAATAGTCTCTAAGATGTGACACATAAAGACTCTTGTTTAAAAGAGGAAGAAATGCTCATGAAGATATATATGAAAAATAAAGTTGCAAACTAATGATGAGATGGAAAGAACACAAACGGATTTCAATGCTAATGTGATCAGTTTCTTCCACTTTATCTTCTTCTTGCTGTCGTTTCCATTAGAACCATCCACAACAGCTTTATCTTCCTTCACTGTTTCTTTTTTGGCTTCCTTCTTACGCTTAGTTTCCTGTTCCTTTTCAACCTGGCTTACTTCGCCATTATCTAATTCACCAGATGGCTTGGCGTCACCATTTTCAGATTCCCTGTCTTTTCTTTTCTTCTTTGAGTGAGTATTACCATTTTCTGCCTCTTTCAAGTTTTTCTCCTTCAATAGCTCACCTGCTTTGTTCTCAAGAATCTCTCTCTTTTGATTGTTGTCATTAGAGACCTCCACACCATGGTCAGTCGGTTCAGTCTGCTTAGGCTGTTGTTTAGCGTGGAAAGCTCGTGCCTTTGCTCTGTGCTTCTTACCATCAGCATGGAGAAGTAGTGTCTGCTTACTAGTTGCATTGGTATTACACAAACTGCAGATACATCACTTTGAGGTCAAATAAGGATGAATCATATTAAAAAAGAAAAAGGAAAAGTCAGAAAACAAAAGAAAAGAAGAAAGAACAAATGAAGCATCAGAAACAAGTCTTGCAACCCATTAATACAAGCCAGAAGAGGAAACCAAAAAGAAAAGAAGAGAACATCTAGGTAGGGAGGATAAAGCACTGGTTGAGGCAGTTATAAAGCTTTGAATGGATGAGGGAATAAGAAACAAAAGTCCACTCTGACTTGGAGTCGATGATTATCAACCAAGAATGGTGGATGACACAAACTCTTGAGCTACAAATAATATTCCTGTCTTGCAGCAACAGCAAGACAAAAATATTTAATTGGACCTAGGATAATACTGGTTTGTTTCAACGAAAATGTCATCTCATTTCTAGCAAATATCCATAACTTTTTCGTCCCATTCTTAGAAAGCTAATCAAAAATAAGAAGAGAAAGACAAAAAAAGTTCAACAGACCTACAAAACCAAGGTGGACGGTCTGACAATCCAACATTGATATCTACATCAGGCTTCTGCTTTGAATCACTGCTGGCTTTGGCAGGAGTTCCATTTGAAGCTTTTCCTAGGCCCTTTGGCCCATATTTCTCCTGAAGGACATACAGAGAATAATTAGAAAACACAAAATCTGGATATCAAAACACCACTCAGTTAAGACGCATCAGTTTTGGAAGCAAATACTATATGAAAGTAAATACTTGCAAGAGAAAATAGCATGATGGAGAAATAATACAGTATTTTTTTGTTCAAGCACAGATTAGGATCCCATTTGAGAGTGCTTTTTTTTTTTTTGAGAAATAAGCAGTGGCGGAGCTACAGTGCTCCAAGGGTGGTCAGGCGCACACCCTTCGCCGGAAAATTGTACTACGTATATAAGTAAAATGATGTTCTATTTTAATATATTCAATAGCTTGCACACCCTTGACACAACCGGGTGAGGTAGCCCAGTGGTGAAGGGTGTGCAAAATGTTCCACTGATTGTAGGTTCGAATCTCAATGCAAGCTTTTGGTACAACCCATTTGTTTTATATTATTATATTTTCAAGAAGCAATATAAGTGTAGCCTTCAGATCCACGTTTTCCTTCTTTTCCAAATCCCAACCAACCTTTGACTTTCTTTTTCTTTTTTAATTGTTCAATAAACAAATATTAAAGATCATTATTTAGTTGAAAGCTACTTAATAAAAATTTCTAAAAGCTCTTTACTAGACCTAAACCTAACTTTTTCAAAATAGAAAGAAGAACCACAAAGGAGAGAAACAAAAGACCATCCCTTGCTTTTTGCCTTGCTAGCCTGATGCGTTATTGTCGGATGCCCGTGAAATCTTGCACTCTAATTCTGAATCTGATTCAATTTCAGGTTTGACTCTTCTTTCTTTCTCTTTTTTTTCTTAATTTATAATCTGAATTTTATTGTTAGAGTCTTTAGAGATTGAAAATTTACTAA